CACGCACGCACGCACGCACACACGCACGCACGCACGCACGCACGCACGCACGCACGCACACACACACACACACACACACACATACACACACACATACACACACACACACCAACACCAACACCAACACCAACACCAACACCAACACCAACACACACACACACGCACACACACACACACACGCACGCACGCACGCACGCACGCACGCACGCACGCACGCACGCACGCACGCACGCACGCACATACACACACAACGGCAACTCAGGTTGGAGCGGAGAGGGGAGAGAGGGAGGAAGCGCGAAGACAGACAGCAGCGGACAGGGGCGAGCACAGCGATTGAAAAAACGCCCACAATGTCTACCAACCCTAGGGTGCCAGCGAGGGCGGGAAGAGAAGGGCGCAGAGAGAGAGGGATAGAGAGAAGGCAGAACAGCACTGGCAGCGACCCGATCGCAGACCGAGGCTCCACAAGTTGGCAAACCATCTACTGTAGACAGCGAAGTATACAAGGAGTGTAGAAGTGCACCTACCCCAGCAACAAGGTTCTGCAGAATCCGCCGACCCAGTCGGCGTGTGTGTGCGTGTGTGTGTGAGAGAGAGAGGCCCCTCGACGCGAGGCCAGCCCACCCAACCCAAGCTGCAGTACGCCAGCCTCCTCTGAATCGTCGTCGCAAGGGCGATCTAGTGAACAGGGGGGATCGAACAATGTCGCAATTACGCCGAAGGGAAGCCCCCTTTCCTCTTTCCACCCCTCCCCCGGCCTCGCTCTGGGCGGCCCCGGCCCGGGCCCCTGCCGCCCCGGCCCGGGCACCAGCTCCGGCCCCGGGCCCCAGCTCCGGCCCGGGCCCCGGCTCTGGCCCGCCCCCGAGGGGACATACGGCTCTCCTCCTCCTCCTCCTCCTCCTCCTCCTCCTCCTCCTCCTCCTCCTCCTCATCCTCCTCCTCCTCCTCCTCCTCCTTCATTTCATTTCGCTAAGCCTGAGGCCCCTCGGAGGCCAGCTGACTACATCACTCCCATCTACGGACTACTGCTCTGCTCTTGCTACAAACAACCGACTCACAAACAGCGCGCTTTCCTCCAAAGCCAGTGCCTCCGCATGAAACGAAGAAATTGGTGAAGACATGTACGTTCCGGCCATAAACAGAGGGCGGAACACCCATGTATACCCGTCGTGAACGCCCACTTCGACAATCCAACCGGTGGCTGAACACGTTCCCATTCGCGTGCCGCCGTCCGAATGCACCACGACGTTGCACTGTTCAAGGGGCGTGTTGTCGAACGGAAAGTCTAACTGCTTGCTCCACGACATCTTGGTATCCATTGTGTAATTGACAAGCCAATCAGCCACCACGTTGTAGTCGCGCTTACGCCATGTAACCAGATCGCAGTGTGGATAAGGCGGTGCCCAAGCATGCTGAAGTATAGATAACATACTGCTGCAAATACTGTGAAATATGGGCTCGGCGTCCGGATCCCGAGTCAACGGCACGATTCCCATGGAAATTCTCTGAAGCGGTTGGCAATCAACGATGAACACGCAGCGTCGCCCTTGACCTTCCCAATCCAACACCTCGCCAAAGCCGTCACCATTGTGATGTACCGGGCAGTCGTGCACGGCGTATTGGCGGGATTTCTTCCGCGGCGGCGCATTGTCACGTGGTGCGTGCGAAGCATGAACGTCCGATGCAACGTTTGTCCTTGGGACAGGAATGAGCGGCAATCCCCAAACCTCGCAAACCGTGTTCGTGAAAGTCGTGACGTTTTTCTTCCACTCCTCCTCCTCCTCCTCCTCCTCCTCCTCCTCCTCCTCCTCCTCCTCCTCCTCCGCCTTCTCCTCCTCCTCGTCCTCCTCCTCCTTCACTTCTCCTCCTCCTCCTCCTCCTCCTCCTCCTCCTCCTCCTCATCCTCCTCCTCCCTCAACCGCCCGCCTCATGTCCCGAACCTGTGGCAGGGTCATCAGCTCGTCGTTGTCGTTGTCGTCGTGGTCGTCGTGGTCGTCGTCGTCCTTCTGGGTCGGCGGCACCAGCCGCAAAACCTTCACACTATCTGGAGAAGGTGCTGCGAGTTTGCCCGAGGCGCCAAGAAGAGGCCCACGCGCTAGTCCACTGGCCCAAAGTGCCGCAGAAGCGTGCACGCGCGGAGTAAAAACAAGCACGAGCGGGCCAGCACGCAGCAGACGGCACAGCTCGAAACACTGGGGCACGCACGAGGGGAGACAAGAGAGAGAGGGATAGAGAAAGAGAGAGAGAGAGAGAATGGCCAGAAGGCGCACGAAGGGCCCATAGACAGGCAGGGCCGCACTCGGAAACCGCACATTAAGTTAAAATCGAAGCTGCTCACGAGAACCCCCAGCTGCGCACCGTTTGAAATACCATGCCTCGCCATCCCAACAAAGGCACACCTCAACTACGGTTGCCTTCGTTCATGCTGGATTGCTGCTCTTCGTGGCGCTGCTTGTACGTAACCGTCGTCGTGCGCACAGGTGGACATTCGAGTCGTGAAGCATGTTGAGCATCGTGTTGTTGGAAAGAGCGCGTTTTGTGGTCGCTTGTGGGGGGGGAAACCGGACCCCCCCCCTCCCCTTCCTCCTGTGTTTCCCCTCTCCTCGGGCCGGCGCTTGTGTCGGCGGCGGCTGACGACGGCGGCGGGGACGACGATTTGCATTTATGGGCGGGCGCTGGCGCCTGCGGCGGCGGGCGGCGGTGGTTTGTGGAGGTGGTGCTGGTGGTGGTGGTGGCGGTGGTGGTGATGGTGTGGTGGTTTGTGGTGGCAGTGGTGGGTTGTGCTGCTGGTAGTGGTGGTGGTTGTGGCGGTGCTGGTGGTGGTGTGGTAAATTGCGGTGGTGGTGGTGGTGGTGGTAGTGGTGGTAGGTTTTTATGGTGGTGGTGTTGGTGGTGGTGGTGATGGTGAGTTGTGGTGGCTGTGGTTGTGGTGGTGGTGGTGGTGGTGGCTGTGGAGGTGGTGGTGGTGGTGGTGGTTGTGTGGTGGTGTTGGTGGTGGTGGTGGTGATGGTGGTGGTGGTGGTGGTGGTGGGTTGAGGCGGTGGTGGTGGTGGTGGTAGTGGTGGTAAGTGTTGCTGCGTCCCCGCCGTCGCCGGCGCCAGCGCCGGCGCTGCTGGCCGCCGCCAGCGCCGGCGCCGGCGCGAGGGGGAGGGGGTTGGGGGAGGGGGTTTGAAACCCTCCCCCCCCCGGCGCCAGGGGCGGGAGGGTTTTTAAAACCCCCCACCCCCCCTGGGCTGCCTCTGGTCAGTCGCTGCGTCCCCGCCGTGGGCGCTGCTGGCGGCCGCCGGCGCCGGCGCCGGCGCCGAGGGGGGAGGGGGGGTGCTCGGGAGCGGGGGGGTTTGGAGGAGAGGGGAGTCCCCCTGGGTTTGATTGACGGCGCCGAGTGTTGGGGTGGGGTGGCCCACCCCCCGGTTCGAAACGCGCCGCCGAATGTTCCCCAGGCGAGCGCCCGTAAAACGCGTTCTCTCGGTAATAGTCAACACGCGCAGTAAGGAGGAGGCCTCTGGGGGGTCTCTTGGGCCGTCTTGGGCCGTCTTCAGGCTGTCTTAGGCCGTCTAGGGTACATCTTGGGCCGTCTTGCAGGCATCTTGGGGCCATCTGAGCCGTCTTGGAGGCCATCTTGGGCGTCTTGGAGGCCATCTTGGCCGTCTTGGAGGCCATCTTGGGGCCGTCTGGGGCAGGAAAACCGTTTGCAACCACCTCTTCCGGGTGGCCGGCGGGACGGGCCGAAGCCCCAGAGGGGAGTTCTTTTGGAAAAAGAACCTAAACCAAAAGCCATATCGTCCGGCACGCCAGGCACCCCTTTGATAAATCAAAAGGGGGCGGCGGATCTAGTGGCATTCGGACCATTCCGCCACCGTGCCTGGGTTGTCGGTCAGTGGCCTCTTGGATGCTCGTTTGGGGTCTCTTGGGAAGCCTCTGGGGAGCTTCTTAGAGGCAGTTCTGGAGCTCCTTGGGGCCTCATGGGGGCCGTTTGGGGGCCTCTTGGGACTTCTTTTGGATCCCTTTGCGGGCCTCTTGGGGCCTCTTGGGGACTTCTCGGGGGCTTGCTGGCGATCTCGGGGGACCCCTTGGGGCGGAGGGCTCGAAATCTCAGCTCGGGTTCTCTTCATATTGGGCCCATCTTGGGGCCCTCTTGGGCCGTCTTGGGCGCCTCGTGTGCCGTCTGGGGGCCCTCTTAGGGGCCTCTTGGGCCGTCTTGGGGCGATCTTGGATGTTTCCTGGGCCGTTTGGGTGCTGTGAAAGCCCAATAGACGAATACATTGAACAGACATGTTCCTGGATTGGGGCGATTCTTGCCTTTTGGGCAACACGCCCGACCGACGCGTCTGGAGGTGCGGCAGGGAGGAGTTAGTGATAAGGGGATGGAGGAGGGGGAGGAGGAGGAGGAGGAGGAGGAGGAGGAGCAGGAGGAGTTGGAGGACGAGGAGGACGAGGAGCAGGAGGAGTTGGAGGACGAGGAGGAGGAGCAGGAGGAGGAGGAGAAGCAGGAGGAGAAAATGGAGGAGACGAGACGACACGAGCCCGTGTCATCCCTGCGACTAGACGAGCCTCGCACGGGATGCTGGGTGAGGGGCAACATCGACACGGACGCTGAGATCGTCAACGCTGCAGGATGTGATGACCTGCGCTCGCCTCATCGAGCGAGGCGTTGGCGCAGGAGGAGAAGGACTAAGAGCTGGAGGAGGAGCAAGAGTACAGTCGAGTTTGATTAGTAGGTCGACCCTGCCCAAACAAGGGTACCCGTGTGTCCTGTGTTTCGCGACCCATGCCCTCTACGTTCCACTGGAAACGTGGCCATCGGAAGGGTCTTGTGTCCTCTCGAGTGTCCTCTCCAATCCACCCCGACTGTAAGAAATATAGGAGGGAGAGCAGGAGGCGGATTCTCGTGGCCTGGCCTTGGGGCGCCTCGATGCGGGGGGGCGTCGCGATCCGTTTTCTGTGGTCGTTCGCCCAGACACCAAGACCGCGCCGGCGAGCGGGACCCCCCCTGCCGCCAGGTGGCCGGCAGGGCCAGGGTGGCTCGGCACAGCAGCTCCGAGCCCACCCCGCAGCCTGGCCGCAGGAGCACCAGCATCAGGACTGCGCGCGCGCCCGCAGGTCCCACAGACGAGGCAGCTCTCTTTGCTCTCTCGGCCAGCGCGCGTGCCCGCAGGATGGTACTGCTACGCTTGAGGGAAGAAATTTAGCAACACTCCCCCCCTCCCCCGCAATTCAAAGGTGGCACGTTCCTTAAAGACCACTCGGAGTCCCAAAATCGGAGGATCCGAAGCCAGCATTGAATTTAGGGGAGGGGGGAGTTCAAATCACATGTTCTGCATGAGTGTTGCTTAATTGTTTCCGACACCATGGGCGCTGGCCGAAACTTCGGCCAATTGAATTACATCGGGGATACCATGGACGGTGTTTCGGGAGAACGCGCCGATATTGGCCAGATCTGGAGGCGTCGTCGACGTCGGCGTCGTCGTCGAATTCGTCGTCGTCGTCGTCGTCGTCGTCGTCGTCGTCGAGGTCGTCGTCGCCGTCGTCGTCGCCGGAGGGGGTCCTCGCCCTCGTGTTCTCCGCTCTCGCCCCTGCGAACAGCGCCCACGTCGGGACTCTGGGCCCGCTCTCGTGCGGCCTCCGCCGCTGCGAGCGGGAGAGAGCCCCCCTGGTAAAAACGGGCACCGACCTCGTCGCCCTGGCCCAGTAAGGGCACCGAGAGGCCGAAAATAGCGAAAAGCCTCCCGTCGTGATTTGTTCGCAACGCGAGGAGGTCTTGGCCTCCACCCTCAGGCCCTCCTCTGTCTCCCCCCCCCTGCACCCCCCCCTTTTCCCGCCCGGGACCTCGCCCACTGCCCTTCCACGCCCCGCCCCGAGGAGCGTCGCCCCCAGCGACTCCCTGGAGCACGGGCGCGCCCCCCCGCCCCGCTGCGCACGGGGAGGAGGAAGCTGCGGAGGGGGAGGAGGAGGAGGAGGAGGAGGAGGAGGAGGAGGAGGAGGAGGAGGATGGGAGGCGATGAGGAGGAGGAGGAGGAGGAGGAGGAGGAGGAGGAGGAGGAGGAGCGGAGGAGGAGGAGGAGGAGGAGGGAGGCGAGGAGGAGGAGGAGGAGGAGGAGGGAGGAGGAGGAGGAGAAGGAGGTGAGGAGAGAGGAGGAGGAGGAGGAGGAGGAGGAGGAGGAGAGGAACGAGGAGGCGGAGGAGGAGGAGGAGGCGGAGGAGGAGGAGGAGGATGCGGAGGAGGAAGATGATGATGAGGGGGAGGAGGAGGAGGAGGAGGAGGAGGAGGATGAGGAGGAGGAGGGAGGAGGAGGAGGAGGAGGTGGGAGGGAAGAAGGAGGAGGGATGAGGAGAGGAGGAGGAGGAGGGAGGGAGGAGGAGGAGGAGGATGAGGAGGGAGGAGGAGGAGGAGGAGGAGAAGGCGGAGAAGGAGGAGGAGGAGGCGTAGAAGGAGGAGGAGGAGGACGAGGGAGGAGGAGGAGGAGGAGGTGGACGAGGAGGAGGAGGGCGCGGAGGGAGGACTTGAAAGAGCTCGGCGTGCCCTTGTGGCGACGGAGACAGCGAGCTGGAATAATGCGCGTGGTCCTATCGCAGTTACGCTTTTATCACTCCGACGTGTTGGCTGGGACATGTTCCACGGTACTTCCCGACGAGCGCGGGCAGGTGTGGTCTCTTCTTACTATCGACCCGATGATGATGAGGGACTTGGTGCGTGCTGGTGTACAACGTTGGCAGATGCGTAGGGTACAGGCACACCATGACGAAGACCCTGGAGCGCCGACCTGGACAAGGTGCCTACGGCACCGCGTCGGCGACAAGGCGGCGGCGCTGCAGAACCCGAAGATGGCTGGGGCCGTGAGAGCCGTGTGGTCAGGATCTCTGTAGACGAAGGTACGTCAGCATGCTCATGGGCTTGCCCAGGACAGCTTGTGTCGTGGTTGTGGGCAGGAGGAAGAGTACATCCGTCACGTTTGCTACCAATGCCCTGCTGTTCAACAGCCGCTTCAGGATGGTGAAAAGGAGCATCCTATGCCCGAGGAGCTTGTCAAGTATCGCGACACGGTGCTGGCCCACGGTACTTTGCGCACACATTTGGTTTCTGACGATTGTTATGATTTGAGCGTCGGGTTGCCCTTACTGCCAGGCGACTTCACTGGAATGGTGAAGGAAGCGCTCGTTTGTTTCAGCTCAAGGTGTGGGGAGACCACGTTCCACAGCCTCGGCGCGAAGAGCCGAAGCCTCGGTTGCAGTTCGTTCACCATCGCATGGGATGGTATGATGTGCACGGTGAATGGAAGTGTCGCGGATGTGGTTTGCGGGCTCGCACCAACACGCATTTCAACAACTTGACGTTGGGCCCGCGCAAGGTATGCAATCCGTCGGCGTTCCAAGCCTTACAGGCCGCCGTCTTTTTCGGTACGGCCAAAGGCTCGACCTATGGGCCTAAACGTGAGGAGGCAGTGGAGGCCGCTCTCAACTTCGCGGACGAGGTGCTTGGTGAGGCCGGTCAGATTAAGCATCAGGCAGTTGACGAGACTGGTAAGGCCACGCTCTACACTAATGACTACTTTGCCGTGCTGGGCCATACCGTGTCATGGAGCGGCTCGCGCCCGGGAGACTCGCCGCAACCAGATCAAGAGCGTGCTGCGGCTCGCCAAGATACAGTCGATGGAATTCCACACGCGGCTCTAGCGCAAAGGAAGCACCCCATCCGTGGGCGAATCGTATTATCTACTACGTGGAGTGCTGCGTCGCCGTTGTGCTGGCTGGCATTTGGCGGCGTGCACTCGGTACCCATCCTTGTTGCGTGTATGGTCGCTTCTTTCTCGCCATGGTGCGCACCTTCTTTGTTGAGGTGGATGGCGCGCTTGCCGTGCTGGTCCATTTCATTTCTGTTTTTGTGGCGGCTGGCATGGGTCCTTGCTGCACTATATATTCAGGCTCCGCAGTTTGGGTTTGGGCCAACTGTGAGCATTCGTGTGCTGGCATCGGTGTCGGCTACCTTTCTTGGCACTGGTGCTGTATTGGTGTCTTTTTATACCAGATCTGGAGGCACCTGGCATTGGACTGGCTGTCCTCGGGCCTGGAGTGCCCTGCTGATCACCGAGTTCGTGGTCTGCGAGCTCCTGTTCTGAGGCCGCCCCCTGGCGGCGCGGCAGCAGCGTCCGCCTGCGCACTGCAGGCGGCCGCCCAGAGGCGAAAGGACGAAAGGACGGAGGAGGTAGGAGGGCGACTCCCTGGAGCGCGGGTGCGCCCCCCCCGCCCCGCTGCGCACGGGGGGAGGAGGCGGGGGAGGAGGAGGAGGAGGAGGAGGATGAGGAGGAGGAGGAGGAAGAGGAGGAGGAGGAGGAGGAGGAAGAGGAGGAGGAGGAGGAGAGGAGGAGGGAATGAGGAAGGAGGAGAGGAGGAGGAGGAGGAGGAGGCGGAGGAGGAGGAGGAGGGAGGAGGAGGAGAAGAGGAGGGGGGAAGAGGGGGAAGAGGAGCAGGAGGAGGAGGAGGGAGGAGGAGGAAGAGGAGGAGGAGGAGGAAGAGGAGGAGGAGGAGGAGTAGGAGGAGGAGGAGGAGGAGAGGAGGAAGGAGGAGGGGGACGAGGAGGAGGAGGCAGGAGGAGGAGGAGGAGGAGAAGAGGAGGAGGAGGAGGAGGAGGAGGAGGAGGAAGGAGGAGGAGGATTCATGATGGACGAGGAAGGATGAGGGCTGAGAGAGGAGGCTGAGGGCGGAGGGGGACGGCGGAGGAAAGAGGGGGAGGAGGAGGAGGTAGGAGGAGGAGGGAGAAGGGGGAGGAGGAGCAGGAGAGGAGGAGGACGAGGAGGAGGAGGACAAAAGGAAAAGGAGGGGAGGGGGGGAAGAGGGACGAGGAGGAGGAGGAGGAGGAAGGAGGAGGAGGAGGAGAAGGAGGAGGAGGAGGAGGAGGAGGAGGGGAGGATAGTGAGGGGGAGGAGGCGGAGGAGGAGGAGGAGGAAGAGGAGGAGGAGGAGGAGGAGGAGGAGGAGGAGGAGGAGGAGGCGGAGGAGGGGGAGGAGGAGGAGGGAGGAGGAGGAGGAGGAGGAGGAGGAGGAGGAGGAGGAGGACGAGGAGGAGGAGTGAGGAGGAGTGAGGAGGAAGGATGAGGAGGAGGAGGAGGAGAGGAGGAGAGGAGAGGAGGAGGAGGAGGAGGAGGAGGCGGAGGAGGAGGAGGAGGAGGAGGATGTGGAGGAGGAGGACGAGGAGGAGGAGGGGGAGGAGGAGGAGGAGGAGGAGGAGGAGGAGGAGGAGGAGGAGGAGGAAGACGCATCGCAGATTTTGCCATCGAACTCATCTATAAGTTTCCTCGCCATAGGTCCCTGCGAGAAGTTATTTTCATGACGGGAGTTGCCCCACTGGAAGACAACCGTTGGAGAATGTACAATCGTGCGACATCACCGTTCTTGGTATGTCAGCGCCGCGAATCAACATGATAAATGCGTCGTCCTAAATCTTGCCAGAACAACAGTCCTGGGATTTCAACCGTGCGAATCCTTAAAATTGCTGCAACGTTTTAATGCGAGTGTGCGCGGCGCTAAGGCGACAACCACATTGTGAGCAGGAACCGCCCTCCATCCTTGAAGCGGTTGCAAGCTTTTAAGGCGAATGTGCGCGGCACTCAGCCGAAAGCCATATGCGGAAAATCGCCCGCCCTCTGTCCGTGAAGCTGCTGTTCACGTTCAAGTTTTGAGACGCATGCGCGTGGCGTTCATGCGAGAGCCACGTTTTGAAAACGCCCGCCCCTTGACGTGAAACTGTCGCAGATTTGACACTGCAGGGTCGGACATGGTGAGGAAGTCTCAGGCCGGATGCCTGGCCCGACCTGTTGACACATCTGGAGGTGCGACAGGGAAGAGTTATCCATGAGGAAAAGGGATGATGGAGGAGGAGGAGGAGGAGGAGGAGGGGGAGGAGGAGGAAGAGGAGGAGGAGGGGGAGGAGGGGGAGGAGGAGAGCAAACCCACGAAGCATCAGCCATGCTGCAATGGACCCTCCCGCACCGAGCTCCCGCAGCATGAGTCCCAGCAGGCCTTTTCGACCCCTTGACGTGCGAGCGCCCCCTGGGCCTGCCACCCGGGCGGGAGAGAGATAGAGAGAGAGAGAGAGAGAACGAGCGAGAGAGGGAGGGAGTGCGCGGAGGAGCGCTTCCCCTCCCGGTTTCTTCTCCCTCTCCCCGTCCCCCTCTTCTCTGCGGCGTTCGCTGCGCTCGGGGGAGTCCCCCTCGGTGGGAGAGAGCTGGCACGCTTCGTCATCCCTGCGTCCCCTGAGATCCGACGCTGCCCCAAAAAATGCAGCATCGCAAAACATCCCGCCCAGACCTGCGTCGTTTGTCGAGCCGGGTCGATATGTGCGTGTCCGGGGGCCCGAAAAACTGCGGAAACGCCCGCCGTGAAAACAATGCAACGCTAGGATCTCAGGGTCAGCTTCGTTTTTTCACAACGTCGACCCCCAGAGGTCTGGACCTATTCCTTGGGACTGGTTTTTCATCCTGAGTCCTGTTTCGACGGTCCCGAGGCCCAGGAAGGGCCCCTGGAGGCCGAAACCAACGAAAAACCTCCCGTCATGATTTTTCCCAACCATCCTGTGGTGTTGGGTCTCGTTTTGAAGAGACGGCGCCCCGCGTTCCTCCTCTCCTCCTCCTCCTCCTCCTCCTCCTCCTCCTCTCCTCTCCTCTCCTCCTCCTCTCTCCTCCCTCCTCCTCCTCCTCCTCCTCCCTCCTCCCTTCCTCCTCCTCCTCCTCCCCCTACTTGCCTCTCATCATCATTCATCATCATCATCATCATCATCATCATCATCACATCATCATCATCTCATCATCAATCATCATCATATCATCATCATCATCATCACATCACATCACCATTCAATCATCACCATCACATCATCATCATCATCATCATCATCATCAT